ACCAAACCCACGGACCTCCTACAAACTAGGTGAGGTAGTTAACATCTCCCAGCTTCTGTGGCACCCTAAAGTGAACTAGAAATTCGGAGAGTTTGTCACCCCCACCCACAATTCTGCATGTATGTTAAACTTTTATAGAGTACTAGGTGTAAGTACCCGGTGTTGCTTGGGCGAAAAAGACAACACACACATCGACTTACACACACTTTCTATGTACATGAGTTTAGCGGAAGAAGCAAGGAACAGACATATTAGTTGTCCGCACACAAGCATTATAACTGTAATATTAGCAAGGTGATTATTTTAAAAATAGGTTTCTATCAACGTGATTTGACACAAATATATCAGTTTAGACCAAGTTATTAATTAATTATTAGTTCTGAGCACAAACGAAAATATGTGATTGTTCACGCTTACGGTGGCTTTCAGACAGCATACATTAATTTTTCGTCTCCCCCCTCCTCTTTTCAGAACATAGATGGACTCGTCCTTCTAAACAAACTGCCAAATCGCAGCCCGTGGTGCTAACGTTTTTAAAAAAAAAATACAAACACCGTTTAAAAATAAATAAATGCAAACCGCCACTTCTTAAAAATATTTCTTGCCGTTGGTTTTCACACCTGATGATGACCGTTTGTGTTATGGTCGAAACGTCGTGAGAAATTTTTTTGTTTTATATATTTTATTATTTTATTGTTTTCCTTCAACGTGACTTTACCGAAAGAGCTAAAAATATGAATTACTGCAGTCACAAAAGCTTTAAATAAAAATTTGCAAGGTGATGAATGAAATGCCAGGTTTGTATGTACATGAGTTGAGTGAAAGAAGCAAGGAATAGAAAAACGTGTTGTCTGCACGCAAACATTAATGTACATTCATTGTGTCTCGGTAAAGTCACGTAGATATAAAAAGAATGAAAAGTGTAAAAAATATCACACAATACCATAAAACAACCGCCATTCGGCACTAAGTGGCGGTGACGTCACCACGACGCTCATGCCAGGCTATGTGCACCTTGAGGCCACGTGAAGTGTTGAACGCCCGCTGGCAGTAGGTCACGGGGCAGACCCAGATGCCACAGGTCGACTGACTGAGACGACTGGCTGATGCACCACCTGTGCCCCCTACTGTGCCAACTTGCTGTGCTTTAGCCACCCGGCGCGCCGCTCGTTGTGAGTGTCGCTCGTTCGCCCTCCGTTGTTGTTGGAGGACGATTGCCTCCAACTGCCCAGTAGCATCCTTCACGAGCCTCCTTCACAGAGGCCACTCAGCTCCACATCCTCCTGTACCACATCACTCCATCTAGCCCGTGCCGCGCCCGTTTAACCCCCACGATCCGGCCGAACAAAAGCTGTTTACACATGTGGTGGCTGGGCATGCAGGCTACATAGCCCAGCCAACACAGCCTTGCCTGCCGGAAGGGCTCACCGATGGGACTTTGTCCACATCTTTCAAGGATTTTTGAGCTCCTCACACAATCCAGCCTGGTTAAACCCAGGATGGATCGTAGGCAGGCCAGCCTAAATGTCTCTAACTGGCGAAGATGTTCCATTAGGGGGGTCCACGTTTCACAAGCGTAGAGAAGGGAGAGAATGACTGACCGAGAAGACCTGAAGCTTCATGCGGAGCGACAGACCAGGTAGCTTCCACACAGCATTACGCAACCGATGAAAAGATAATGCCGCACGACTGATTCGGAGTGAAACCTCTGCTGTAAAACCGGAGCCGGTCATGAGCACACTGCCCAGGTATGGGAAACTCTCCACTCTCTCCACAACCACCCCATCACCATTTGTGAGTTGTGGGCATGGAGTGTCCAATGGTACAAATACCCAGTCAGGTGCTTAGTTTTGGTGGGGCTGATGGTAAGGTCCCACCTCTTAGTGGCAAGCTCCAGGTTCAGCAGCAGCGCCTCCAACTCCTGAGTGAGCAGCAATTACCAGATCATCAGCATACATAACATGGTTGAGCAATAGGGAGCCATCCCTTGACCGCACCCAGGCATCGATCAGCCTCATTGTATCTGTACCAGATGGAAATTCCTCCGGTACAGCTATTGAAGGCTTCATGAACTACGTGGTCAAAATAGATGTTAAATAATGTGGGAGCCAGAGGACATCCCTGTCGCACCCCCAAGGTGTACAGATAATGGCTCCGACTCCCGGCCACGTAGTTTTACCCAAGCCCGCTCGCCATCATGAAGGTCCTTAATGATCGTGAGCAGAGGGTCAGGAACTCTGAAAGCGCGCAGAACAACCCAGAGCCCAGGCCTACTGATGGTATCATAGGCCTTGACCAGGTCAATAAAGCAGAGACGTAGGTCTTGTTGGAATTCCCTACACCTCTGCTGTAGCAGACAGACAGAAAATATGGCAGCTGTGCAGTACCGGCCTTTCATAAAACCCCATTGAAACCGCACAATACCATACACACCATGCTATATACACAATACCACGCACACAATACCATACACACCATGCTTTACACACAATACCATAGACACAATACCATACATACAATTCTGTAAACAGCCGACTATACACACCATACACTATGGTATACACACAATACCATACATAGCATGGTACACACACAATACCAAACACACAGCACTGTGTATGCTATTGTGTGTATAGCATGGTGTGTATAGTACGGTGTGTATGGTATTGTGTATGGTATTGTGTGTATAGCATGGTGTGTATGGTATTGTGTGTATACCATGATGTGTATAGTAGGGTGTTTCTGGTATTGTGTGTATGTTAACGTGGTTATTATTGTGTGTATGGTATTGCGTATGCTATTGTGTGTATACCATGGTGTATCACGTACAGAAGAAACCGATGATCTCAGTACACACCTTGATGGACTGCATTCTGCTTGGCAAGCCAGGGGCATTGCACCTCCATGCCTACGAAAAGGGAGGCTAGCAACATTATATCTGTTGTGTGGTGATCCACCAACTCTTACCTCATCAGCCAAATACTCTAAACACATGTTTCTAAATGTGGAGGAAAAAACCCAAGGACACGGAAGATCTGCTGCATGTTGGAATGGCTGGACAGGCGATGTGGAGGCGCTACTGTTGCACTGCAGAGACAATGCGACGCTATCGTGGATGGATGATGATGCAGTCTCCCGGGTGCTTCTCGTTTGATGATCTCGTGGCGCGTGCGGTAGTGAAAGTTTGTTAACGCGGAAATTCGATTTCATTGTTTGAACAGTGTCCATAATGTGTCACTTGCGTGAACGTGAAGTTTCGTAAACTGAACGTTCGTCTATCTAAATATACAGTCTGTTCTCCTTCCTATAATGTGTGGTGTTTTCATAACGTCAATTAGATATAACATAACGCGGATACAAATTGAATATACCGTGATCGAGCGAATGGAACTTCATTGCGCGAGTAGAAATAAGCGGTTGTAATTCCCATAAACACGTAAAACTAAAAACTAAATCCCTAACTACCTCGAAACCATTCCACTCAAGAGAAAAAAAACTGCTGGCAGCAGCTATTCAACCGATACACCCTGGGGATTCGAGCTCTCTCACACAGGTGCTGCTGCCCCGAACACATTCCTGCGGAGGGAGCTGGTAGGAACGTTGGGTTGCTCGGTAAATGGCCAGGGTCAACGGCGGCGTGATGTATTCCGCAAATATGCCCGACTGTGAGGGCGGGCATAAGCCTGCGTGAGTAGGTTAAACGTTGAGTTTTATAAGGGCACCACGGGGTAACCAACCCCTCCCCACCCAGCCCCTCCCCACCCTCCCCACCCAGCCCCTCCCCACCCTCCCCACCCAGCCCCTCCCCACCCTCCCCTCCCCACCCAGCCCCACCCTCCCCACCCAGCCTCTCCCTCCCCACCCAGCCCCTCCCCACCCTCCCCTCTCCACCCAGCCCCACGCCTCCCATTTTTGGATGCACGACGGATGGACGGACACAATAATCCCCTGTGGGCTGGTGTAACCAGGAGGTTCCTACCAACACACAGATACTTCACTATCAGTCACGACGGAGTTGAACATGAATCTTGATTGGGGGTCACAAAAACCCAATCACGTTCAACTCGGTGAATTAAAATATCACATTAGGCTGGCAATTCAACAGTTCCTTCCTAAATATTTAAACATATTCTCATCCACAGTAAGACCATACATTTTCTTGGAATGACACTTTTAGACGTTTCATGGAATGCCTATATTACACATCTAGATAAGGAGGCATCTGGTTTTATTTTCAGTGCCCATGCCTCCTTTAACTCCGATTATAATTATTACCCTGATACAAAGCACAAATTCGGCTGAAGTTGGAATGTTGGTAGAACACAAAATTTCTACCGAATATAATGTATGTAGTGACGCAGTTCGGAGACAGGGATAATTTGAGGCACCTTTGTTATTCTAGCACACAAAGGGGACTACATGCACCCTACGTGGGTGCACACTATTTATATATTACACACAGCCGTCTACTGTCGGCGGCACTATCTAGCTAGTACAGTTGGCAGGCTGTCTAGCTAGCGGCTCCCAGTCATGGTGAAGATGGCGGCGACGATGGTGACGAACAGGAGTACAGCGAGGGGATCCACTTTCAGCAACAGCCCTGAGCTCTCGCTCAGGGCTCCCTCTTATGCTCCCAGCGTGACCTTGCTCCGCCCTGGCCACGCCCCCCTTCTGGAACCTACTAGCAGGTTCTCAACATACATATAGATCACCTTCACTCAGAGCTCTTGACGTAGCTTGCATAACGATGACAATGAAATTATGCAGTTGGCAGGGGCAGTGCAAGGATTGAAACTAAACTATAAAAAAGTACTTTTTATTCTACCAGGTAAGGCCCACTGAGCTATGTAGCTCTTTTTCAAAAGTGACCTAACCACAAATGATAGCCCAACTTAGTGTCTTATCACGTGGTACTTTATAACAGCCAAAAAATCTAAACGGGTGACGTTAATTGTAAATGTGGAGGGAAAAACTGATGGACTCGGAGAAAAATCCATATGATCACGAGGGGAGAGAGACGCAGACTCCAAATACACAGCAGACGTCAAGGTTGAGATCGAAGCCACGACCTCCTGTACACCAGGCGAGGGAGTTAACATCTCCTAGCCACCACATCGCCCTTGAGTCCTCCGTTTTTAATCGCTGAGGAATGAGTGACAGTGAGGAATGAGTGACCTAACAGAGGGTGCTGAGAAATTATGAATTGGGCTATAGAGGAGGGACGGGATGGAGAAGAAGATGATTACGGAGATTATCACGGTGCTCAGCTTATGGAATGGACCTGATACTGCACCTCCAATTAGCACGGTTAGCCACATATGGTGTGAAAGAGTTCAACAAACGTACATGACACGTGCCCTTGGTTTTAGGAACATTTTCTTGCAATCTTGTTTGACACTTGGGTTCTCAGTGGTAATGTTGTCAAAGTCTTCCATGGCACATGCTTCTTTTTATTGTCTTCCTGTTGACTACGGAAGGATACTCACTGATCACAGCATCTCCACCCATGGGTTTTACTTTCTTCGCTGAGCTCCGCCGTTTTCGGATATGCATGGGTTTCATTTTCTTGCATAAGGCAGATTCCGTAGAGCGGAGTTTGTGGTCGCGCGTGTGATAATATACGGTGCCCTTCTTTTTAGTGGGGCTCTTTTGCTTGCGCTCCCTCGTTCTCTGTCGATTTTCGAACGCTCCAAACACATCTCCAGCAGCAGCCTCTGCTGAGGTAGCTTCAGTAATGGGCGAGACCTTTCCTGCGCCTGGCGCTCCACTGGCCAAAGCTGCATACGTTTCCACATTTTCCAAATGGCACATTGACAACTTGCTCTTTGGCACGGGGGGGTAATGAAATGACGATTCTTCCTCAACTGGCGCTGAATCATCGGAGGTGTTCATCGCGGTTTGGTCTGGTCCATTTTCGCTGAAGGCGGCGAACACGTCCGAAGTTGGTGTTTTCTTCAAAATATGCGACTCTGGCGGTGAAGTCAGTTGGTTGCTCAATACAATTCTATCTTTGGGTGGTACAAGTAACTCTGCTGAATATTGGCCACTTACATTAACACTTGCACAATTTTGACATATAGGCACACCTTCCTTTAAGACCTCCAGCTGCTCTGAAATCACCTTAATTTCCCTGATGATTGTTTCATTTGTCTCTTTAATGTTGTCTTCAACTGTTTTCATTTTTGCAAACAGAGAATTCTCCCAGGTTTTTGTCAGTTCTTGTTTCCATACAGTTAACACCTCTGCAACTGAAAAAAATATGAAACAAATACATTTGTGATATTGGTCAAAACATTACCTACAAATTATTTTTTCCCTTTATTGCAAAGGAGAAATTGCACGTGTGTTTACATATAAAACAATTCATTGCATTATTTTGAAGCTACAGCAAGTGTATAACTTAATTATTACATTTCATTAAATTTACCAGCAACGTTAGTATTAAAATCACCAAATGTAAAAGTAGATGGGTAGCTTACAGGACTGAATATGCCATGTTATTCACGATTTGTTTACGCTTCTTGTTATGAACATCATGCGCTGATGTAAATAAATGTAAATAATATCTAATTACAGCTAACTCTCGCTCCGCGCGAGTTCTGGATTCTCCTATTTGTGAGTTACTAAGTGCACACCGATTTCCTATTCGCGACACCCGCCAGACTCTGGTATTCGCGAGTGTACAGAGTGCCACACCACCAACACCGGGGAGGTGCGTGCAGAATGTTACTACATTTGAAATGGTCTGCTGCGAAGATTAGGCACGCTGCGTGGGCTGCCCCTTTTGGCTTTAAGTCTTGTAGTATTCCCGCTCCGAACTCGCACTTGTGCATTTTTTACTTTAAACATACTTACAGTCGACTCATTCTTACATTTTGGTAATAAACAAGTCGACTACGAGGTCCATTAAAAAGGTGAATGCAAATCGGGGAATGTATTGCGGCTTGCACTGCCCAGAGTGCTAAAATGATAGCAAATATGCGGCGTTGTTATCAAACACCAGCATCTCCCATGACGTCATCCTGAATTCCTCACCACCTCCTCCATCATCGTCAAATCACCATTGTTAAAGGTAATATAAAAAAAACGTTCTTTTTAACGTATTCATTATTTATTGTAGTCATTGGAATTAAACATTTGCCATTTCCCCCCTATGTTCACTCGTATCAGGAACAAGATTTCTGCAACCAAGAATTTTGCATTTGCGAGCGTTTTCAACAGGGTAACCCTCGAGGATAGAGGGTTGACTATTTAAATAGAAAGTGCCTTCACTCAGGGCGCTTGATGTATCTTACAAAACGATGACACAAGAATGGAATTATGTAATTGGCAATAATTGAGGAATGAGTGACAGCAATAGAGGGGTACTTTTGGATCGCGATAGAGGGGTACTTTTGGATCACGAAAGGGCTATAAGGGAGGTGCAGGATGGAATGGAGGGGCAAGGGAAGAGGAAGGGTGATGGAGAAGAAGTGAGGCTTTTAGAGATGAATGGAAGGAGGTTAAAGAGGGGGACTGCTTAATGTACAATGGGGTGACTGTAATGCCCATTGATGCCTACTTTATTGAGGGAAATATTGGCACACAAAATACAGATTGATTGATTATGAGTAGTGTTGAGTCTATGGGCAGTGTTGAGTATGGGCAGTGTTGAATATGGGCAGTGGTGTGTTTGGGTAGTGTTGAGTCTATAGGGAGGGTTGAGTCTATGGACAGTGTTGAAGCTTTGGGCAGCGTCGAGTCTGTAGTGAGTCCAACTGAGTCACAGACGTTAACTTGGGAGCAACACTATTTATTCAACACAACAGCACGAACATAACACAACCTACGCTCGGGTCTCGAATGCCCATCTAACCACGCTACGGCAGAACTAGACACGGTTCGCTATCCCGGTCCGGATCACAAGCTGGGCCCCGGACCACGTGGCTAGAGGCTTCTTCTCCCCGACGTGGATCTTCGAACACCAACACTTGAAGAACCCCGAGCTCCTCACGGAGCTCTCGTTATATGTTCCCGGGCTGGGGCTGGCTCCGCCCTTAGCCCCGCCTACCCTACAGGCTCCTCGGGCCTCTTCTCTAATGTTCCCGAGAGCTCTCCAGGACCATGTGACCGCCCCTCGGCCCCCGTCCACCGCTGGCCCCCCTCCAGCATCATCCGGTCACGTGACAACAGGTCAGCCAGAGTATCATGCCCCAGAGTAACCCTGGCTGGCTGGTGCTTGCTCTCGCTCCCTCACCGGGAGCCAGCACCGCACACTGCTCGCGGTGCCTTTGCACTAACCAGCGCTCAACCAACCACCGCTAGTATTTGTACTGCAGCCCGCAACCTGGGCTGCCCGCAATGACAACATTACTGGCCGTGACTTCACAAGTCCCGGCACCACACAGTGACAAGTACAGTCATTACAAGTCTATGGGTAGCATTGAGTCTATGGGCAGCATTGAGTCTATGGTGCACTTCTGGGTCTGTGGGCAGTGCTAAGTCTATGTGTGGCAGTGTTGAGTCTATGGGCAGTGCTGCTCAATGTAAAGGGGAAATTGATTCCAGTGGAGGAGAGCAAGGAGGGAGAAGGAATGGGATTGGGCACAGGGAGGAGGGGTAGAGACAGAGAAGATTGGAAAGGAAGAGGAGAGACTTTTGACTTTTTTAACAACTTTTATTGCCGCCAGCAGCAACAACACTGGAGGCGATTCCGATACGAAATACAGTCGAAATGAAATACAGTCACCAGCAAACAAATAACAAATACTATAAATCCAGGTTCTGTGGCGCTAAATGCACCGCGCACAACTCAAAAGAAAAGTCACGTGGTGGTGGTTATCGCACATGCCACGGCGACGAGCGAGCACTTCAGATAGTGAACATGAGGGTGCCGTCCACACTGGTACAGAGGGCTTTTCTGGCCCCTCAACGTTCGAGAAAGATGCGCACATCACCAGCATGTGTGTGGTATGTGTGCTCCAGCCAGAGCCGCGCCTTGAGCAGGCCCCTGAAAACTGGAAGTACAGTGTCATCTTCCAGCATATTTTTCCTTATCTTGTACACCGCGAAATTCGGCTGAGCCACACGGCCAATGGCAATGTGCAGTGTGCCAATTTCATCTGGAGGTCACCTCACCGTTTGGCTACTGTACATTTGTTTCCACTGGGGGGCGGCCGCAATGAGGGGAGAGAAATGGTCTTTCCATTTTATGTCCGGTAGGCCGGCCAGGACCCGGGAATGCAGCGCCTTGACACAGCACGTGTAGAGCGCTTTGTTCAGGGCGCTCTTCAGCGGCACGTTCATGCAGCTTCAGAGTTTCAGTAGCTTGCCGGAGTCGCTGTGGCCAAGGGGCTGCGCGCAGGAGAAGCACAACTCCGGGAAGGAGGAGGAGGGAGGGCCGCGGCTGTTCCCCGGCACCTCCAGCTTCAGGCGCAGCTCCTTCATGGCACAGAGCACGTCCCGCAGCAGCTTCTCCCCGGCGAGCATAGAGCGGAGTCCTGCGGTGCTGGAGATCTCAGCTGCGGTCTTCCAACTTGCGCTGGTGGGCCTGCATGAGGTCGAAGACTGTCCGCAGCCCTGTTGATGTGAGGCGTAGAGCCAGGGTCCTCTCTCCTCTGATCCCCTGGAAGAGGCCATTGCCGAACAAGCGTTCATTCAGGAACTGCGCGAGGTCATAGGGCGCGTGCGTTCTGCTCCACTCGAAGCTCCGCCACGTGTCCAAGAGCTTCTGGTGATAACCTGGCAGCCTTGTAAAGTCGACCAGGCTCAGGTTCATCAGGAAGAGCTCCTTTCGGTACACCAGGTACCCCCCTGCATTCCTCAGCAGGGCGAGGGCCGGTGACTTCCAGGGTAGCTCCTCCCGGTCGTACAGCAGCCGCCTGAGCCTGAAACTCATGACCCTGGCGGCGACGTCCACCAGACCCTGGCCACCCTCGCCCACCGGCAGGCAGAGAACGCTGTTGTATGTCTGAGCCTTTTTCTAAATTAATAATATTTACTGAGAATTTTTTTTTTAACTGGAATAATGAATGCAACACAAACCAGACTCTCTGAGAAAAGCAGGTGTAAATTGTAAAGAGGACAATTATAAATAAACAAATAATAAAAAACCCCGAGGCGAAGGAAGGGTGGTGGTTATCTGGGAAATCTCCAGATGGACAAGCTGTTCGAGGTGCCACTGGGTTGGGGTCACCAAGGGGGAGTTCCGATTCCAAGCCCCAACCTCGCCCCCCTTTTGTCAGCCGCAGACAGAATGGTGCCACAAGTTAGACAATTTGCCTCGTATTTTGCTATTAAACCACGATTAAAGTCCAAATTCCACAACAAAAATAAGCTAACATTATCAACCATCGCACACCCACTCCAATTAAACCAGGCCATAATCTACATCGGTGAATCATTACCCACTTTATTTATTCGATATCAAATGATTTTCACCTTTAATACTCTTACTGTTAAATCACCAATCTTGGGGACAGGAAATACAGTCACCTCAAAAGTTATCGAGAAGGGATGAGGCGAACGGGCAAACTTTAGAAACGAGTTTAAACAATATCCCAGAGACTCCCGACCGTCTTTGTCTCTCCCGCAGCGCGAGAGAGAAAGGAATTTCACACCAGAGCAAGAAGGTCATTATAGCGGGGCCCTCTGTGAATGGGGGACGCGGGGTGGGCTTGGTGGATGACATACACGCACGGACACACACACACCGACCACGTCCTCCACGGCGCAGAGCGGAGAATGTCTTTGAATATAATGGTTGAGCATCTTTTAAAAAGTTCAGTTCAACAAGGCACAGGAGTTCAGCAAGTTGTCAGTCGGCGAGCTGCAGAAGATCGACAAGGGATGGCGAGGCTCATAGGGTGGCGAGGCGCCACTGAGTGTGGGTTCAGAGCCGACACGCAAAGTCTCGTTTAAAGACCTTTATTTTCTACATCGAGTCCAGCTGTAGCGTGACCGACGCACCAAGCAAGAGTTTCTGCAACCAGCAGCCAAGCGTGTGCCGATTTGAGTCATCCAGCAGCGAAAAGAGCCTGTATCTGCCAGCACGGGCAGCCAAGCCGACGCCTCGAACGAGAACATACAGCAGTGGAGAGAGCCTGCTTTCAGCAAACCAGCGACCAAGCGTGTGCCGACTTGAGTCATCCAGCACTGGAGAGAATCTGCTGCCAGCAAACCAGCGACCAAGCGTGTGCCGACTTGAGTCATCCAGCAGCGGAAAGAGCCTGTATCTGCCAGCACGGGCAGCCAAGCCGACGCCTCGAACGAGAACATACAGCAGTGGAGAGAGCCTGCTTTCAGCAAACCAGCGACCAAGCGTGTGCCGACTTGAGTCATCCAGCACTGGAGAGAATCTGCTGCCAGCAAACCAGCGACCAAGCGTGTGCCGACTTGAGTCATCCAGCAGCGGAAAGAGCCTGTATCTGCCAGCACGGGCAGCCAAGCCGACGCCTCGAACGAGAACATACAGCAGTGGAGAGAGCCTGCTTTCAGCAAACCAGCGACCAAGCGTGTGCCGACTTGAGTCATCCAGCAGTGGAGAGAATCTGTTGCCAGCAAACCAGCGACCAAGCGTGTGCCGACTTGAGTCATCCAGCAGTGGAGAGAAACTGCTGTCAGCGAACCAGCATGGGCGCGTTTGCGCATCTTCAAGGAGAGGGAGCGCGCCGGCGCAGCTCATTCAGCAGTGAGAGCGTTCAGCGCTGGAGAGCGCTCAGCCAGTGAGCGCCATCTATCAACGAAATACCGCAACTACAACAATACGTCAACTACGTCAGCCGAACCCGAATCGCTGTCCGTATGATACACTCACACCCTCACACCCTCACCGCTCTGCAGGGAACAAACACATTTTTGACAGAAGGAATGCCAACCTAGGCGTTTACTTAACGCAAACAGATCAACAACCCTCACACATTAACACATACAAGAAGACTCATGATAAGTGCGTCAACTATTAGCTGATAACGAAAAACATTGTTGCCATCGAGTTACGTGGATACGGTCACTTGGGTCTCTATGCAACTCTATGGATCTCTATGTAACTCTATGGATCTCTATGCAACTCTATGGAAGAAGTATTTTAGTCGGTCGTCTTTAATTGCATAATCTTGTTTATGGATCTATGAATGAACGCGGTACGGTGTGTGCAAATTCCAGTATAATCATTCATAATAGAGAGTTAAGGTTTTGCTTAGAGTAGCAATTGCATTTTTTTTACGTCTCTCTCTCTCTCAACAACCGAGGCGTATTACGCGGTGATTAACTATATGGCTGAGGCCAAAGTGAAACAACGCAATCGTGATGGTTACCGTGTTAATGCTGTGTTGAAATTCCGAGATTGAGAGTTCTCATATTATCCAAAAATTAAAGTTTAGCTAGAAAATAAAATTGATTAAAGCAAAAGGGTTGTGTGTGATTCTTTCCGTGATTCTGCATAATAACTGAATTCTGCGATTGAGATCTGAACCTGGTGGACTTATCATAAGCACACTAACACACAATCAATAAATGTTAAAGCGAGAATAATCGTATCCTTATTGATAATACGGAGTTAAACAATGAAGTCGAGTTGACTCTCTCATTCACGCTCACAACACCTGCATAACTGCATATGATTAATTGCATTATTCCAATTGATAACCAACCTTCGTCACCGAGGCTGGGCCCGATTATCATAACGACCTGCATTATCATAACCACACCCACTCGCATAAATTAATACGATTATCTCTCGAATTTGCATAATTTAAATGCATAATTGAACAAATTAACATAATTTCGGATAACTTATGTAAATTACATTAAATTTATTTATTTTCATCAAATTTTCATAACCCACATATACACAAACGCCCGGCCTGAGCCAGTGCCAGACGAAGTGCGCAAGTGAGGAGAAGGAAGGGGCTATGGAAGGAGATGATAGGGGCAGTGCACTGTCCTCTGGCAGAGAATAAAAAATACTCTTTGGTTCTATTAGGTAAAGTCATGTTAATACTTTACCGAATAGAACCAAAGAGTATGGATCCTTGCAGTCAAGAAAGCTTAAAATCTAGAATACAAAAATAAACAAATGTATAGTCGAAGCAAGGTCACCCAAAAGGTGATACTCAGGTAATGCCACCAACGTTGTTTTCTCCTGCAAAACTAATTATGTCAGCAATTTGTGGAGGGATTTTGTATCATTCGTGGAAACAAAAGTGTATGCGGGAAGATGGGTAGGTAGGAGGACACAGAAGCAGACCGCACTTAGTGCTCAAGATGCGTTGTTCCTGGGGAAGTGAGCAATAAACAAATCGGCGCTAAAAGAGGTCATTATACCATTGTATATATGGGGAAGGACATGGTGAAAGATGAAAACGTGAGAGGAAGACTCAAGGTGGTAGAAATCATAGAGAAGATGAGAGAGAAAATGCTGGTGTGGCTCGGTCATGTGGAGCGACAACAGAGAAGTTATGCGGGTTAGAAGGTGTCCATGATGGAAGTGGAAGGAAAAAATCAAGAAGAAGGCAGAAGAAGAGGTGGGGGGGGGACGATATGGTGCCATCAGACATGGTGGCCCAAGGAGCGGAAAGAGAGATGGCGCAGGGCAGGGCAGCATGGGGAACACGTAGGTTTTCGTGGCCAATATTCATAATAAAGGTTTTTTAAATTTAGATCTAAACCCAAAAGCTTTATCAGCATTGAGGTTGGCAAGGCCAGCGGACACCACCACATGAGTGGGGGAAACGCTTGCAAGAAGATATGGGGATGCGTTCCCGACGGCGTTATTTCTTTCCCATGAGCAATATACAAGGGCTTCATTGGGGTATCAGTAAAAGCACTCATAATAACACAGATGGTAAACATAATTTCATTGGTTAAAAAAACCAAAGTATTCTAATATCAGGAAGTATTACGTACTGTGCTGCTGAAAGGCAGCGGTGGGAGATGAGGTTGGAGCTGCTGCGCTGCCAGTCTGGGTCTTTGCGATGCCCTCAGTCTAAATCTCCATAGAGGTTTTTTTTTAGGTAAAGCCTGAGGCTCTATCCTCGTCTTGTGTTGAGCTCTCGGCTGGCCAAACAAATCCAATCGTGACCACGAACTTTGATGAAATTGCGGGCGGTCTAGTGCTGATTGGCTCAGAGTGTGCGTTGTCCTCATAGGCTGAGCAAGTGATGGCCAGTGCTCCCGCTGCTGCTGCGTGTTCTCACTTGAAAGGGCTTTGTATTATTTTATTTTATTGGTTTTTAGTAGAACATTTCTCCAGGACAAAACAGCGCTAAGCGAGGTCTGCCTGCATTTCCCAGTCACAGTAATAAGCAAAACAACTGGTGCCTAATAGAGGGAGATTGAAAATAATTTCCTTCGCTGGTTCATTAAATTAACATCAGCAACAATAATGCAGGGGTCTTATGTCTCATTTCAACCAATTTAAAAAAGGATCCTCATCTGTAATACCTTTGGATGTCAGCATATCACCGTCGATGGCAGACATTTCCATAGGTCCTCTATCAGTTTGCGTAGTCGCGTCCACTGCCGGATAAGGAGGCACGTCTTGTCCAAACCTTGCAGCAGTTGTGTCTTCCTGCATGCACCATCCGGTACATCTCATATACGAGGTTTGATGGGAAAAGCAGCGACTGGAAAATCCCGGCTCCGTGAACTTCTCCGTTGCCATGCTGTTGGCTGAAAGTGGATACAATGTGTGGGTTACAAGATAAGGAACAGCTACCAAGAAATAGGCTGATTAAATTGGGGTAATCAGAACAGAATATGTCAATGTGATAGCCGGTGGTTGAGAACGTAAAATTGAGCGTTGAAACCCTGATTGTAAAGTGAAACACCATAAAGCGAAACGTATTCTCCCATAAGGTCCATTATACAGCCTAAGTTTCGTCCCTAAGAAATATTTTATGACTCAAAACGTACTAAATTCACACTTTTCAACACAACTAAGACATTATCCTGCGTAAATATGGAGAATAATAACTAGATGGGTAATAAAAAAAATTGTACACTGTAATTTACTGTACAAAAACTGTGGTGCACTTCGTGGTGACGGGTGACTGGGGGTGGGGGGTGAGGTAGGAGTAAGATGTTAACTACCTCTCTTTGTATACAGAAGGTTGTGGGTTCGATCTTGAACCTGACGCATACTGTATATTTGTAATTTGCATGTTGTCCCCGGATCATCCGGTTTTTCCCTCCACATTTATAATCAACATCATCACGTGATTAGAGTATTTTGCTGCTGTACATTTCCACATGGTAAGCAACTTTGTTAAGCTATCATTAGTGGCCAGGTCGCTTTTGAAGAAGAGTTATATTGCTCAGTCGGCCTTATCTGGTCAAACAAAATAGTTCAGTTTAATAGTTTCAATGCGGGGATAAAATCAGCTTGTGTGCAAGAGCTGGATGGATTTATCTCTTGCCAGACCATGCGAGTTGGCAATGGCTTACAGAGGAAGCCTTTATTGAACAGTGGATAGATCACGACCAGTGATGATGCTGATTTCCACTCACAGACACTCCGTGCATTGTGTACAAGTCATAACGTCGACTAAGTTTTACTCTACATACATACCCAGTATTCGCTACCACCCCTCTACCATAATAATGTCGCCTAAGTTCTACTCTGCATACATACCCAGTAATCTCTACCACCCCTCTACCATAATAGTTTCACCTAAGTTCTACTCTGCATACATATCCAGTAATTGCGAATATCCCTCCTCTGTACCTCCATCACCACCCTCCCTGTTGTGCCCAGTCTCGCTCTCTCGTTCCTGCTTCCTTCTTGCTCCCCTTCACTGAACCAACTCCCCCTGCAGAGCACAGAGCCAATATCTTCTATATGGTCTGGGGCGCAACGGCCTCTTACAACTGGGGGGCGATGTGATATCAGACTGAGCCTCCCTCTTTTCTCCTGACTCACTTTGACTACGGTATGGTTTAGGCCGTATACAATAACGTGTAGTCTATAACTATATGAATTACTTTAGTTGCATTGTGTATTGGGTTTTGAGGAAGACAGTCTCATAGTGACTACAGTATTAATAAAACAGGTACAATACTCACAATTAGGTTATCATGCGTCTTGCTTTCATGCGCATGTCAGCAAGAAAACCTGGTGGTGTTCAGTAACAAACACCAGCAGGATCGCTATTTTATTTTACGCTGTGTGTATTTTCGGAAATATTTTTTTTTCAATTGTAACAATGTTTTTTGGGATTTCTGGTTTATCGTGGGAATATTTGATTAGAATATTTTTTCTTAACATTTTGTAGTTGTTTATCTATTTATTCGGAGCCCCCTTGTGGCCGACCGGGCACGTCTGTGTCACATTACGCTGCTGCCACATACTCCAGAGCTGCGCCACTATGATGACCTTCAGCTTCCTCCTTTCCTGCCTTAGAACAATCCTCATCTCTTCTCCCCTAGCCCAGCGTCATCATCCTGCTCCTGCTGCTGATACTCCCTAAACCTGACCCCCAGCTAAACCAGGCCTACCCCAACCGCAACCACAATCACTACCCCTGTCACTATCACTACCCCTGTCACTACCCCAACCACTATCACTACCCCTGTCACTACCCCAACCACTATCACTACCCCAACCACTATCACTACCCCTGTCACTACCCCAACCACGATCACTACCCCTGTCACTACCCCTGTCACTACCCCAACCACTATCAATACCCCTGTCACTACCCCAACTCATATCTCTACCCCTGTCACTACCCAAACCACTATCATTACCCCAACCACTATCACTACCCCTGTCACTACCCCAACCACTATCACTACCCCTGTCACTACCCCAACCACTATCACTACCCCAACTACTATCACTACCCCTGTCACTACCCCTGTCACTACCCCAACCACTATCACTACCCCTGTCACTACCCCTGTCACTACCCCAACCACTATCACTACCCCTGTCACTACCCCAACTTATATCACTACCCCTGTCACTACCCCAACCACTATCATTACCCCAACCACTATCACTACCCCTGTCACTACCCCAACTCCTATCACTACCCCTGTCACTACCCCAATCACTATCACTACCCATCACAAGCCCTGTCACTACCACTACCCCTGTCACTACCCCAACCACTATCACTACCACTATCACTAATCCTATCAAGACCTTTTATTTTATTTGTATTATCTTTTATTATTTTATTATTTCCCTTCTACGTGACTTTACCGAAAGAACCAGGAAGACTATCAAGACCTCTATCACTACCCATATCACGACCCCGATCACCAACCCTATCGCGACCCATATCACTTACCCTACCCTTAGCACTACCCCTGTCACAACCCAAACCCTTCCTCAACCACTCCCACCTCTCCTCCTCACTGTCATCCGAGCTACAACTTTATAATTATTTAAAATCGAATGAATATAATTCTAAACTTTACTGTCTCCAGTCACTGTGACATTTCTATCATTGTTGCTGTTATTCTAAAACTTCGTATGAAGCTCTCACCACCCAGCTGCTCTCTCTTCTGCTGCAGGCTAAACTCTCTCTTAATATAAAAGAGAGCTAAAGAGAGCTAAAGAGAGTATAAAGGAGGTCGTGGGTTCGATCCCCAGACCGTGACAATGCCTGCAACTATGTGGAGTCTGCATCTATCTCTCTCACACCATAGTCACATGAATTTGGTCCGGGTCCCCCTGGTTTTCACCTCCACATTTAAAATCAACATCACGCGTTTTGAGTATTTGGCTGCAATACATTTCCACGTGATAAGCCACTTCATTGCGCTATAATTTGTGATAGCCTGTGGTCGCTTCTTAAAAAGAGCTCCATAGCTCAGTAGTGGGCCTTGCAAGGTGTTTAGTTTGTTGTCCTTCCCCCCCACACCTCTGATTAGCCCAATTGGTTTCGTATAGTGCAACACAAGTTCAACATACATACACACTTACAAAAAAATAGTTTCGTTTTACCAGGCAGCCCCCTCAATTCCCTCCTGCATGAAACGATGCCTTCACGGCAATCGCTTCCGGCTCCGCACATAACATCCCGCTCGATAGCATCCGACTCCGTAGCGTACCGCTCCGCACGCATCGCGTCCCGCTCCGTGGCGTCCTGCTCCCCATGCGTAGCATCTCGCTCTGCACACGTAGCATCCCGTTACAAAAGCGTCCCACTCTGTAGTGTGCCACTCCCCACGCGTAGCGTCCTGCTCCGTAGTGTCCCAGTGCCCGTGTGTAGCGTCCCACTCCACACGCGTAGCATCCCGTTCTGTAGCATCCCACTCCGTAGTGTTCTGCCCCTCACGCATAGCATCCCGCTCTGCACGCGTAGCATCCCGGTCTGCGTGCAAAGTGATTAAGCCCTTCCCCCCGGCCATTTACCGTTCTCGTCCAACCACGTGCGTAGCTCCGAGGGGTATTGATGGCACACGACTCTGAGCGTCCGCAGGAGCTTCTCGCACCCCTCCTCGCTGCAGTCAATAAAGTGATCGAGCAGCGACCGTGCCTGCTTCATGCGGTCGGCAATGTCATTGGCTGTCTTGTAGAGCTCGCGCTGGATGTGGCCTCTGCCGTCCAGCTCATCCAGCAGATGGGTCGGGTCTCTGCTGATCCATCTCATCAGCGTAGTTTTGTGACGACGGATCAGCGTCTTGGCCATCGTCGGCTCTGTCTGAGCGGTTTTATAAATACAGTAGATAATTTATTAAACGGCAGCTTTGGGGAGGAGGGGGCACCGGATTTTCAAAAACGCTGGATAATCACTAATCATTACGTAAAATATCTTATTGTTGCACATTCTTGGATGACACGTATTTATGTTTTTTTTATTTGTTTACTATGTGAAATTGGCATAAATAAACATACAAATAGACAAACATATCCTATTCTTTGGGTCTTTCGGTAAAATCATGTAGATAGGTTGAAAGAAAATAACAAAAAACTACGACATTTCGATCGCAACGCAAGCGGTCATCATGAGGAAAAAAAGAGGAAAGCTGCTGAGGCAGACTGTTTTAACGGTTTGAAATGGGTGTAGCCCAAGGATCATAAATGAAGTGGGCGGGGCTATTGATTTAATGTGAGAAATTATCATGTTAATGTAAGATCGGAGAGCAACGTTACGACGAGGGCGCGGAAGTGGCTGTGTTAATGTGAGAGATTAGCATGTTAATGTAAGATCGGAGTGCGGCGTCCAAGACGACGGCACGGAAACATCACAGCCAGTAGAGCTCGATGTATTTCCGACCATCACCTAGCCAGTGAACTGGAACACGTACACCAAGCTCTCAAGATGAATGGATATTCAGACTACACAATCCGTAAATCTATCACCCCAACCGTTGGGAAAGAACCATCTGAGAACCCAATCAAAACCATCACCTTGCCATACATAGCAGGGGTGACCAAAAAAATCTCAAAAATCATGAGCAAACACAAGATCCATGTTCGATTTAACACAGTATATAAAATTCGTAATCTGATCCCATCTGTGAAGGAAGTGATCCCTGACATGCAATACACCGGCGTCTACAAACTAAGCTGTGTCTGCGGCAGTAGTTACATTGGGGAAACCAAGCGACATGTTTCGGACCGTGTTCGTGAACATAAGGCAGATCTGAAACACGGTAGGACCAATACCTCGGCCATGGCTGATCATTGTTTTAATTCAGTGGGCACACACGAAATTGATAACAGTGCATCAGATTAGAAAGTTCAGCAAGTCTACGACCCTCCACCACCCGGCACAGCCATGGCTGATCATTATTAAAGCGAAGGTACTTTGCAAACCAACTGGCTATCAACAAATATTTGTTCATGAAGCCATCCATATTCATAGACACAGACACAATTTCAACCGAGATGGGTACAAATTGAGCAATCATTGGAAGGACGTTATTAACCAGTTTAAATCATAACTGGCTGTAAAGTTTCCGCGCCGTCGTCTTGGACGCCGCACTCTGATCTTACATTAACATGCTAATCTCTTACATTAACATAGCCACTTCCATACCCTCGTCATGGAGGTCGCCTTCCGATCTTACATTAACATGCTAATCTCTTACATTAACACAGCCGCTTCCATACCCTCGTCATGGAGGTCGCCTTCCGATCTTACATTAACATGCTAATCTCTTACATTAACACAGCCACTTCCATACCCTCGTCATGGAGGTCGCCTTCCGATCTTACATTAACATGCTAATCTCTTACATTAACATCAATAGCCCTGCCCACTTCGTTTATGACCCTTGGGCTACACCCATTTCAAACCTTTAAAACAGTCTGCCTCAGCAGCTTTCCTCTTTTCACACGGTTTTTATTAACTCACTCTGTCTGTTGTTGTATCCTCAAATCTTGTAACTCAATTTTAACCCACTTCCCAATGTGGTATCGACTGCAAACTTGGTATACTTATGACATGCTGATGACAAAACTATATTCTATCATTAAAAATTATAAATAAATATTTTTAAACATTATTTTTTATATGTTATGTTTCAGCTTGGGTCTAATTGTCCACCGTCAACTGACGTTGCCTGTAAATCACCACGGTCCCCTACGTTATGGCACGCTTCGGGGCCACTTCCTGAAGTCGTTGAGTTCTTCTAATGCTCGTACGGTACATTTCATTAAAGCGTGTTATTAAAAAAGTTTTTTTTATGTATATTAAATTTTTTCTCCTAATGACGACCGCTTGCGTTGTGATCGAAACGTAGTTGTTTTTTGTTACTTTATTTCAACCTATCTACGTGACTTTACCGAAAAACCCAAAGAATATGAATTCCTGCAGTCACGAAAGCTTTAAGTCAAAACATATCCTACTGTAAAAAAATTACTGTATTTACTGTACCGTACTTAGCACTTCAATTTCTACTGATGTATACACGTGCAGTATTTGCATTGTTTAAGTTGTATGTAGTGTATAATGTACAGTGTATAATATGTAATAGTGAAATCAAGTATAGCTACTTTTTTTTGTCACGCACATGGTGCTGATTGCAGGACTGGTTACAGCCTTTGGTGCAGTTTTTCCAGTTTCGCCGGATCGGCCCAGGACCACCGGATAATGTTAGAAGCTGGATAATCGCGCGGTGCCGGATAATCGATTATTAACTGTATACATAAATCGTATGTCATCTAATGTGGATTTATGTAGCAGCGTCTAATTGCAAGGGGCTTCATAGAAAAAAATAAAAATGTACATGAGAGGATAGTGGTTGAGATAAAGAGTAGTGGGGTTGTTATTGTTGGTAAAAGTGGTGGTGTAGTTATGGTTGTGATAGAGGTTGGGGTAGTGATAGGTGTAGTGATAGTGGCAGTGATAGACATAGCGATAGTGATAGGGGAACTGATTAGTGATAGGGGTAGAAGAAGAATCGATAGTAATACTGATAATCATCGTCAAAATACAAGCTTAAAGAATAAACAAATAAGATTATCAATGTCAGTGTTAAAATAAATGAAACAACACTACAGTATGTACTTTTGGGAAACCCTGTGTAATAACCCCTTGTGCTCTGACTTTTGGGCCACCCTATATAATAAGAACCCTATTTTTTCCTGACTTTTTGGTCACCATGTATAATAACCCTATGTGTCCTGACATTTGAGCCACCCTGTATAATATCACAAATGGAGTTAACTTACCAAAGATTGCTGCCAGATGTACGGCTTTCTTGACATTTTCCGTGGTATGATGCCTCTGCAGAGATTGACACAAATTCTTAATTTTAGTGTTATATACAAGTTAATTTAGAATGTCAAATACTGTATCAGAATTTTTACGCAAACGCCTAATAGATGCTCGCTAACAGCACGTTGTGTGTACAGCACGTGTGTACAACAACATTGGCCTGTCTGGAACACTACTGGAAATAATTATGTACATTTGTAAGGTGATGCATTCCATCCGTAGATCCCAACAAACTGCAGGGTACACCGCCAGATGTACAGTGAGGGAAAAAAGTATTTGATCCCCTGCTGATTTTGTACGCTTGCCCACTGACAAAGAAATGATCAGTCTATAATTTTAATGGTAGGTTTATTTGAACAGTGAGAGACAGAATAACAACAACAAAATCCAGAAAAACGCAAGTCAAAAATGTTATAAATTGATTTGCATTTTAATGAGGGAAATAAGTACTCGACCCCTCTGCAAAACATGACTTAGTACTTGGTGGCAAAACCCTTGTTGGCAAACACAGAGGTCAGACGTTTCTTGTAGTTGGCCACCAGTTTTGCACACATCTCAGGAGGGATTTTGTCCCACTCATCTTTGCAGATCTTCTCCAAGTCATTAAGGTTTCGAGGCTGACGTTTGGCAACTCGAACCTTCAGCTCCCTCCACAGATTTATATGGGATTAAGGTCTGGAGACTGGCTAGGCCACTCCAGGACCTTAATGTGCTTCTTCTTGAGCCACTCCTTTGTTGCCTTGACTGTGTGTTTTGGGCCATTGTCATGCTGGAATACCCATCCACGACCCATTTTCAATGCCCTGGCTGAAGGAAGGAGGTTCTCACCCAAGATTTGACGGTACATGGCCCCGTCCATCGTCCCTTTGATGCGGTGAAGTTGTCCTGTCCCCTTAGCAGAAAAACACCCCCAAAGCATAATGTTTCCACCTCCATGTTTGACGGTGGGGATGGTGTTCTTGGGGTCATAGGCAGCATTCCTCTTCCTCCAAACACGGCGAGTTGAGTTGGTGCCAAAGAGCTCCATGTTGGTCTCATCTGACCACAACACTTTCACCCAGTTGTCCTCTGAATCATTCAGATGTTCATTGGCAAACTTCAGACGGGCATGTATATGTGCGTTCTTGAGCAGGGGGACCTTGGGGGCACTGCAGGATTCGAGTCCTTCACGGCGTAGTGTGTTACCAATTGTTTTATTGGTGACTATGGTCCCAGCTGCCTTGAAATCATTGACAAGATCCTCCCGTGTAGTTCTGGGCTGATTCCTCACCGTTCTCATGATCATTGCAACTCCACGAGGTGAGATTTTGCATGGAGCCCCAGGCCGAGGGAGATTGACAGTTGTTTTGTGTTTCCTCCATTTGCGAATAATTGCACCAACTGTTGTCACTTTCTCACCAAGCTGCTTGGCAATGGTCTTGTAGCCAATTCCAGCCTTGTGTAGGTCTACAATCTTGTCCCTGACATCCTTGGATAGCTCTTTGGTCTTGGCCATAGTGGAGAGTTTGGAAACTGATTGATTGCTTCTGTGGACAGGTGCCTTTTATACAGGTAACAAGCTGAGATTAGGAGCACTCCCTTTAAGAGTGTGCTCCTAATCTCAGCTCGTTACCTGTATAAAAGACACCGGGGAGCCAGAAATCTCTCTGATTGAGAGAGGGTCAAATACTTATTTCCCTCATTAACATGCAAATCAATTTATAACATTTTTGACATGCGTTTTTCTGGATTTTTTTGTTATTCTGTCTCCCACTGTTCAAATAAACCTACCATTAAAATTATAGACTGATCATTTCTTTGTCAGTGGGCAAACGTACAAAATCAGCAGGGGATCAAATACTTTTTTCCCTCACTGTAGGTGTGGGGTAAAGGTTGATTTAGTCACTCACTCACCAACTCAGCCTCTCACCTACTCACCCACTAACCCACTCAACAACAACCGCCATTCGCCACTAAGTGGCGATGACGTCACCACGACGCTTGTGCCAAGCTATGTGTACGTTGAGGCCACGTCACGGGGCAGACCCAGGTGCCACGGGTCGACTGACTTAGATGACTTGCTGATGCACCACCTGTACCCCCTGTGCCAACTTGCTGTGCTTTAGCCAACCGACGCTCCGCTCATGGGTTGTGAGCGTCGCTCCTCCGCCCTCCGTTGTTGTTGGAGGGCGACTGCCTCCAACTGCCCAGTAGCGTCCTTCACGAGCCTCCTCCACAGAGGCCGATCTTGACACCGCTGGTACCAGTCATCGGCAAGCCCACTCTGCTCCACATCCTCCTGCACCACATCACTCCATCTCTTCTCTAGCCCATGCCGCGCCAATTTAGCCCCCTCTATCCAGCCGAACAAAAGCTGTTTAGGCATGTGGTGATTGGGCATGCGGGTTACATGACCCAGCCAACGCAGCCTTGTCTGCCGGAGGAGCTCACCGATGAGACTCTGTCCAGATCTTTCAAGGATTTGTGAGCTCCTCACACAATCCAGCTTGGTTAAACCCAAGATGGATCGTAGGCAGGTCAGCCTAAATGTTTCTAACCGGCGAAGATCTTCCATTAGGGGGGGTCCACATTTCACAAGCGTAGAGAAGGCAGGGAATGACCGTGGCCGAGAAGACCTGAAGCTTCATGCGGAGCGACAGACCAGGTAGCTTCCATGCGGTGTTACGCAACCGATGAAAAGATAATGCCGCTGAACTGATTCAGAGTGAGACCTCTGCTGTCAAACCGGAGCCGATCATGAGCACAATGCCCAGGTATGGGAAACTCTCCACTCTCTCCACAACTGCCCCATCACCAATTGGGAGTTGTGGGGGTGGAGTGTCCGATGGTACAAAATACCCAGGCAGGTGCTTAATTTTGGTGGAGCTCAATTACTCACCCACTCACTCACCCACACACTCACCTACTCATCCACTGCTTACCCACTCACCTACTCACCCACTAACTCACCCAGTCACTCCCTCACTCACGTACTCACCCACTCGTAAGAAATAACAATACATGAAACTGTTCTGATAGCTACAGACTTAGTGTTGCTTGGAAGCGTATTGTCAAGCCAAATATTTTGACTGCATGCCTATACTTCGACGGTGATTTAACTGTGACCAGCCAAGATCAGGTTATGCGATTTTTGCACCCAAAAACGGCAGAATATGCATACAAAATTCACATACAGCATATGCTTGTATAATGTGCATGCGTGATGTACGGTACATACGTTGATTAACTGTGCATAACACAACCAATAATACATAACCATTGTAATTTCCTGTTACACTCTGCCATTTGGTTGGCTGGTTGGTCGCGTTGACGTCACGCACTACAATCAATCAGCGTGTGCGACGGGACTTCTGAACATCATTTTACGCAGCAGCATCGCACACAGGCTGTGTGGCTGCTTGTTGAGCATTACTTCGCGTGTAAATGACCTGCAAACGTAGTACGAACTTCCGATAATAAAGCAAAAGGTAAGACACCCTATCCATGCAATAATTTATAATTCTGTGCTGAAAATTCAGTATTATTTGCAACTCACCATCATAAACACTTTACGGCCAGTCCCCGTCTTACGACTGTGTTCTGTACCTGAGGCCCGTTCATTGGTCCAACTCACTGTAAGTCGACACGCTCAGTGGACCAAAGCCCAACTTACGACGTGTACATAACAAATTCCGTGGGAAAATTTTTTGTTTCTATACAACTTGAGAACTCTTTGGTTTGGCAGAGCCATCCTCCGCCAGCTGTAATGAGCCCTAACATCACTGCTGAGTGTCTTGAGAGTGTATGTACGTGTGCGTGTGTATGTTTTTTGCACCGGGGGAATCTCCATATGGTACAGATATAATGGGAGGCTGATCTATGCCCGGGTGCGGTCAAGGGATGGCTCCCTATTGCTCAACCACGTTATGTATGCCGATGATTTGGTAATTGCTGCTCATTCAGAGGAGGAGTTGGAGACGCTGCTGCTGAGACTGGAGCGTGCCACTAAGAGATGGGGCCTTACCATCAGCCCGACCAAAACTAAGCACCTGCCTGGGTATTTTGTACCATCGGACACTCCACCCCCACAACTCCCAATCGGTGATGGGGCAGTTGTGGAGAGAGTGGAGAGTTTCCCATACCTAGGCAGTGTGCTTATGACCGGCTCCAGTTTAACAGCAGAGGTCTCACTCCGAATCAGTCGAGCGGCAATATCTTTTCATCGGTTGCATAACGCTGTGTGGAAGCTACCTGGTCTGTCGCTCCGCACTAAGCTTCAGGTCTTCTCGGCCACGGTCATTCCCTCCCTTCTCTACACTTGCGAAACGTGGACCCCCTTAATGGAACATCTTGGCCGGTTAGAAACATTTAGGCTGGCCTGCCTACGATCCATCCTGGGTTTAACCAGGCTGGATTGTGTGAGGAGCTCACAAATCTTTGAAAGATCTGGGCAAGGTCCCATCAGTGAGCTCCTCCGGCAGGCAAGGCTGCATTGGCTGGGTCATGTAGCCCGCATGCCCAGCCACCGCATGCCGAAACAGCTTTTGTTCGGCCGGATTGAGGGGGCTAAACGGGCGCGGCACGGGCTAGAGAAGAGATGGAGTGATGTGGTACAGGAGGACGTGGAGCTGAGTGGACTTGCCGATGACTGGTACCAGCGGTGTCAAGATTGGCCTCTGTGGAGGAGGCTCGTGAAGGACGCTACTGGGCAGTTGGAGGTAGTCGCCCTCCAACAACAACGGAGGGCGGAAGAGCGACGCTCACAACAACGAGCGGAGCGCCGGGTGGCTCAAGCACAGCAGGTTGGCACAGTAGGGGGCACAGGTGGTGCATCAGACAGTCATCTCAGTCATCTTAGTCAGTCGACCCCCGTGGCACTTGGGTCTGCCCCGTGACCTTGTTGTTGTATGTGTTTTATGAATGCATGTGTATCAGGAGCGGTAGTGTAGCGGTTAGCACACCCGGCGACCCGAGTTCGATTCCCCCTCACACCAAACTCCACTGACGAGTATCTAAACCGGTCCTGGGCC